TGTGCTTTTCCTTGTGTAGCTTCACAATATCTTGTCTCACAGAGTAATCAAGTTTTTGGCGTTTCGCCATGGTGCCCGGCTGATGCAACGTTTACAAATGACTAAGTAAGACTTATTCTTTAGAGGAAATCAAAAAATTTGAATATAGCATACTGTTTACATTGTTTTTCTCAATTTTGTCCCTTACTTTTGGACGATCCTATTTTGAAAATAAATAAATAATTGTTATAATTCTTTTCCTATCCTTTGCAAATGATTCAAATTTTAATATGTTATTATGGACGATAACGACTACCAGTTGTCAAAATTTCAGCTTTTCACAGTTGTTATTTCTAACAAATATTAGGTTTTAAAATGTTGTCCCTTAGTTTTGGACGCTACTGTATATATATGTGTGTGTATTTGTATATATATATATATATATATATATATATATATATATATATATATATGTGTGTGTGTGTGTGTGTGTGTGTGTGTGTGCGTGTATGCACATACGTAAGGACCGTATTGACTGATTACCTATTTTTCTTTCTCATTCCTCCGTACACATATGGTTACAGGTAAACTAATCTTTTCTTAGGGTTCCGTATTGTTAGGAGGTTGAGAAGTGACCCAAAATGGGAAATCAGTTTTATTTATTCTTTGTTTGATTAACTTATCACTGAACCTTACGCTAATTTGTAGTGGCGGGGCGGTTGATCTACCCTATAATGCTCGATTACTATCACTCTTATTGGGGTCAGAAAGTTAAACATTTTTCGGCCGATACGATTTTACGTCCGTCCTTCAACATGTAAGCAATGCGAAGTTTTATAGAACCTGAAATTACGTTTTTCTTTTCTTTAATTTTATTTCCACTCTCTGACTATATTTAACTTTAATTTTTTTTTTCATTATATTTTTATTTCCTTTTTTATCGTGATAATCCTCAATGTAAAAGTATGTCCACCTCTGATATTTCATCTTGTATTGGTCATTGGGAGATGTAAAAATTATCATAGTTAATACCATTTCCAGATCCCTATGTTACCCCCCCCTGAATGCAGTACTAGTATCAACAAATAATGAGATCCTTTTTCAACGCACTCGAAAGTCCATGGAATAAGAATCCATCTCAATCCAAACGTGTTTGCCAATGACATCATGCGAAATAAAACTCTCAAATGCAAAAACAGATCAAAATAAAACTAAATATAAGTCGGAATACGATAAACCATCACTCAAAAAATAAAGTGATGAGACTAGAAATAAATAATATGACAGTTAAAACCTAAAATAAATGAGATACGAAATAATAATCTCTCAGGAAACAAAACCGGATAATGTATCTGTGACATGAACTGCAGTGATTAAGAGTATGCCATTGAAGATGAGTTAGACTACATTGGAAAACAACAGAGGTGAAATCACCGAAGCGAAAAAAAACTATCGTCCTAGTGCTCAGAAGAATAACTCTCACACAAATATGACAAGCTACCAAAAATTTATATAACAAAGTCCAGCAAATATATTGTGGAAATATACAACACTCTACTGCAAACATTGTTAACGGACAAACTACTGGGAAAGATCACAGAAGTAAATAATATCATATACGCAGAAGAGATAGAATAATAATAATAATAATAATAATAATAATAATAATAATAATAATAATAACAACACTTACGGAAAGGAAACTGCAAAAAATTAGTATGAATACCATCGAGGCTCGGTTACGACCTGTAACATTTATATGGGACTTTACAATTAACACAGACAAAACAATCAAAGCTAATCGCCCTGACATCGTGTTTAGAGACCGCAAGTACAAAATGTGACTCCTTATTGACATAGCAGTCCCTGTAGACTGCAATGCATCATTGAAGATATTCAAAAAGCAATCAAAATACACGGACCATGAAATCGAAATCTCAAAAAAAATGTGGCGCATGAGGACATTAACAATTCCAGTTGTAGTTGGAGCACTCGGATTGATTGGAAAACATTCCAATAGACTTATTGAAAGAATCCCTGATTGCCCATATTTCATCCATTCGTGGAGAAATTACAGTCACGATGTTCATTATACTAACCACATATCTCAGAAATCCGTCCGGTAAAATGTACGCATTATTCAAGATTGCTCATATGATCGAGATAAAAAAAAAGTCCTTATAATAACAATAATAAATTTATAAAATCGGTTAATCTTTACCTTGATATTTTTAATGTGTGTATATTTAATTGTTAAACGTTTTCTTAAATCAACAATAATGGCAGTGCATTAAAATAGATTCCGTTTTGATCGGAAAAGACATATCAGAGACGCTACTTGGTTTCAGTGAGAAAATGAAAGAAGTAGAAAGGGACAAAGAGAGAAGTGTTTAATGCCTTTTTCGGTGACATGACAACAGTTTTCAATTTCAAATATTTTCATTTGTCTCCTGACTTCTTTAAAAACAAACTGCCAGTATTCACATTTATGATTGATATTGCAATATTTTTTTAAGGTTGTTAAGCTCAAATATCTAACGAGGCGAAAGGGGAATTTCTATGTATATTTTTATTGTCGTTGAACTGGGCATTAGATTATTCATTAACTTAAAACTTAAGAATCATCAAAACATTCAAATAAGAACACCATGTAATTTTCACGGGGATTTCTAGTTAATAATAATAATAATAATAATAATAATAATAACAGTAATAATAACAATTATTATTATTATTCTTATTATTATTATTATTATTGAGTTAGTACCTGTAACAATTTTATGGGACTGCACAATACACACAAACACAAAGATCAAAGGGCGTCGCCCTGGTACCATTATTAGAGACCGTAAACAAACAAAAAATGCCTCATTGTTGATATGGTAGTCCCTGTTGACTGCCACGTATCTTTGAAGATCTTCAAAAAGCTATCAAAATGCAAGGACCTTCAAATCAATATCTCAAAAAGGTGGCATATGAGACCATCAACAATCCCTGCTGTGGTTGGATCTCTCGGATTGATTGGAAAAGATTCCAATAGAGTCATTGAATGGAATTCATCGAAACCCATGCCTTAAAGAAATACAAAAAATTGTTCTCACGGAAAAAGTTAGTACGAGAATATGAAATGATATGGCCTTGGGAAACGTATGAAACCATCTCTTCACTCATAGCTTTGGGTTAATTAGTATCATTATTTCCAAAATAAAATTCTTACGATCTAAATTTAAAAAAAACTGTCTGGCATTAAATAACCTGCGAATGGGTTGATAAGCCGTCAAAAGCGAATCAATCAATCAGATTAGCTGAGTTCACTGCTGACATTACGATTGCCAATGATGCTGCGTTTGTGCATTTTGCACACTTTAATAATTCTACGAATTGAACATCCACAGCAGAATATAACGGTAAAACTTTTCTCCCGGGCACTTTCTATTGGCTAACTCGTTTCAAAGTTTGGATTACTTGGCAATTTAACCAATTCCATTCTCAACAGCTTTCGGCCATAGAAACCCGGTTTCATCCATGCTCAATAATAAGTAATCATATTAGGTTAATGAAATTTTTCAAATTGAAAACATGTTTCTACATTCCTAATTTCCCAGCAAGGTTATCCATTCCCGGGAGAATTCGTGGATCGGAAGTTTTATTTCATCATTACTTATCAGTAACTACTTATTAATGGAATCCTTATTGAATAATATATAATGCATATGTTTCAAGAAATCTGAGCACATCGAGTAATGGTTAACGAGCTTGTTTTTCTAGATTAATTACGACTGACTAGTGAGTTTGCTCATCACTGGGTGCTACATAGTTTCGATATTAGGCTAAATCTAAGCTACGCATGATAAATTACCATAAGATTCAGGAAATTTGCCGGGTTCGAAAAATATGTACTATTTTACCAAATAGTAAAAGTGCTCCATGCGAGTAATTATTAAAAGTAGTTTTATATTCAGGATAAGTAAAGTACAAGTGAAATTAAATTTATTTTAATAATCGTTAACGCTGTCAAACACTAAGAGATTAAATACTTCGGTCTGTGATAACACACGACCATGATTATTGCAATGAAACAAAAGATGTTGGTCCTTCTCCTAATAAGCAGTGTTCATGGTAGATAGCTTGTAACAAGTTACGTTGTCAAGCTAGTAAGAATTGAAGAACCCTTGACGTCCATTACGCGGCTTGTTGAGAAGTGTAAAAGGGCGTATCCAGGAATATCTTACAGGACGAGACTTTGTGATTTTAACGTCTTTTGATTGAGTGATCGGTTTGTCTGTTCAACGGCAAAATAACTCCGCTTGGTTCATTTAATGCCGACATTTAATTTTCTGGAAAGTAATAAATATATGTTATTCTGCTTTCACAATTGAATACATGGTAGATGATACTCAGCTTTTGTGCATATGCATGTTTGTGTAGTTATGATTACTATACATATGGAATTGTGATTTATATTGTAGTTTTATTGAAGTTATATTTTTTAATACAGTTTGATAAAAAATATTTATATTACTTCATGTCTTGAAAGTTCTTATATGTTGGTTGTTTGGTACTATTTTAAACAGATTTGGGCAAAGTCGCTACAATTTGTTAGTATTTATGCATTGTTGGTAATTTTACTATCAAAATGTTTTGGTAATTTTACAATAAATATGTATTGCTGGCAATTTTTTAATAAAAAAAGTATTGCTGGAATTTTTACTATTAAAATGTATTTTTATACTATCAGGATTTTGTTTTTGTTTTGGGAGGGGTTCACTATGTGCCCATAGCTGGGACCCTAACAGGTGCTACCACCCCAGGTCACGGTGGACCTAGGAACAACAGCAATTAAGAGGTGGTTCTACGCTCCTCAAAACCTCCCCGATCAGAGTTTTTGCTGTCGGATGTAGTTTGTCGTAATACCTGAGATTATAGACGTCTGTTACTCCGGTGAAAAAATCCATTGAAGATTTCTGGCAAACGTTCTGCATTTCATAGGATGCGGAAAACAGGCTTGGAGAATTTACGTCTCATAGCGTCCATCGGAAACAGGAGAATTGGAGTTCAAACCAAAACCTACTTAACAAGTTTGATCGGAGGAACAGAGGGATGAAAACAGGTGTTGTAAAGGAGCATTGTTGGAAGCAACAACATAAAGGAAGCTGAGAGGGATCATCGTCTATCTCCTGAAAATAAAGAACGCTAGAAAGAGAGAGAGAGAGAGAGAGAGAGAGAGAGAGAGAGAAAGAGTGAGAGAGAAAGAACTTGAGAGATGGAATCAAGACAGGTTCCACGAAATGGAGACTAATTGGATAAAATTGAATGAGTATCTTAAGTTTTCCCTTGGTAGAAAGTGGGGACGATACAGAATCCTATGTTTTTAACCATCCTTTATTAACAAGAAAAACATATTTAGGGTGCAGAAAAGGGAATCTGACAAAGTATTTCGGACATTTTTTAAAAAATAAAAAGAGTCGACTATAGTCAGGATCATCGAGTCAATACCAACGATCTATTCCTTAGCTGCATGGTAAGTGCTTCCTCAAAGCTACATAGTGTTTTGAATTCAGAGTTTTCCTTCTCGTAGACCGGTTGCCACCCCAGGCCTGTCGTACTATTTTGAATAGAATATATAATATCTTTCCTTGATCTAGTCGACTGTAGTTAGGATTATTGAATCAATGCGGATGATCCTTTCCTTAGCTGCATATTAATTGCTTTCACAAGGCTTTATACAGTTTTGCATTAAGAAATTTTCTTTCTCCTAGACCGGTTGCAAGCCAAGGCTATATAACCAGTCCTGTCATACTATTTTGAATAGAATATATGAAAGCTTTTCCTGTTCTAGTCGACCGTAGTCGGGATCATCGAGTCAATGCGAACCATCCTTTCCTTAGCTGCATAGAAAGTGCTTCCCTAAAGATACATAGAGTTTATAATTCAGAATTTTCCTTCTCCTAGAACGGTTGCGACCCAAGGCCCACGTCTGTCGAACTATTTTAAATAGAACATATAAAAGCTTTCCCTGATCTAGTCGAACGTAGTCGGTATTATTGAGTCAATGCTAACGATCCTTTACTCAGCTGCATATTAAGTGCTTCCCCTAAGGCTTTATACAGTTTTGCATAAAGAACTTTTCTTCTCCTAGACCGGCTGCCACCCAAGGTTAAAGAACCAAGCCAGTCCTAATATTTTAAATAGAACATATGAAAGCCTTCCCTGTTCTAGTGGACCGTAGTCGGGATCATCAAGTCAATCCTTTCTTTAACTACATAGTAAGTGCTTTCCTAAAGCTACATAGAGTTTTGAATTAAGAATTTTCTTTCTCCTTGACCGGCTGCCACCCAAGGTTATATAACCAGGCCTGTTTTACTATTTTAAATAGAATATATAAAAGCTTTCCTTGATCTAGTCAACCGTAGTCGGGATTATTAAGCGAACGATCCTTTCCTTAGCTGCATATTAAGTGCTTCCCCAAGGCTTTATACAGTTTTGAATTCGGAGTTTTCCTTCTCCTATACTGGTTACCACCCAAGGCTATAAAAATCAGTTATTACCTACTATTTACCCATAGCTAGGGAGATAAGATCTGGATACATATCTTTCCCGAGCACGTAAGTAAATGTAACGAAATCGTCTGGAATACTTATGATAAAGGCGTTAGTTACATCCTGTTACAGAACCCAAAGAGTGTGAGTTCAATACCTGGTTAAGGCAGTGGAGAACTTGGAGAGGGTAATTAACAAGAGATAACTGATATCTGAAATCCATTAGACATGGCACGTCGAACTAGAACAGTATAACCCAGTGAGCGGAATAAAGGGTTCAATTCGACATTCTAACCACGTGAAGAAGAGATCTTTATTATGAAGTCCTTCACTGATTCTATGCGTGATATATTAAGACATCAGCAGTGGACCTAGTAGGACGAAAACCATACTGTTTGTCACTCAGCATTTGATATTTTTTGTAGCTATTCAACGACTTCCTTGTTTATGATTGCTTCAAAACATTTACTAATGACAATAATGAAACTGACGTGGTGATAGTGTGACGGGAACGAGGGATCACATGCATTTCTCAATATAAATTTTACACACAGAATAACTTCCATAGGTTTGGATTTTTTTTTCTTAAGGAGGGTTTGAACAGTTTCGTCAAGATTGGAGATAGATCTAGGACAAGATTCTTGAGAACAACTACATGGATGGTATCAGGACCAGTATAGAAAAGGCTTTTGATAAATCTGGAAAACTCTTCAGCCGATACAAGTGATATCACGAAGCTTGTGTTTCCTGAGGAAAGTCAGGTAAGGGATGGTCTTTGTCGTCTAACCTAGAGTTAGTGGTAAAGTCTATAGCAAAGAGCTTAGCCTTATCTGACGAGGAGAGATGATTTCATAGTGATTTATAATGGAGGCACTGACGGTTTACCTCTATTGAGTGTTGGGTGTGCAAATTTCCAGACCCCCCGAGATACAAGTTTTTTCTTTTGTCATCTAGTTCACATAGATGCTCTTTGCATTTGAATCACTTTCCGGCAGTATACACATTTATAAATCTGCTATTCGTGCATGCATTGAATATTGCTGTCACATTTAATCTGGTTCTGATGTATTTAGTAATTCTTGATAAAATTCAAAGCAGAATGTACAGTTTTCTTGGTCCTGACATGGTATTTAGTTTCAGTAATTTTCCCACCGCCATAACGTAGTTTCCCTGGGATTCTTCTATAAATATTTTCATGGCGGTTTTACTGTTGAGTATGCCTCTTTGGCGCCAAGACTTAACAAATTTCAGAACAGTACGAGATTAGCTTAAATGGCTATATTGTAACCGCAAGTTGTATGCTTAATCTTTTCTCTCGTTCTTATCGCTTATTGAATTCTTTTCCAGCTTCTTACTTTCCTGTAAAATTTGAACTTGAAAAATTTATATGTAATATCAATCCTTATATTCTGCCATCTTAATTTCAGTTCTTTTTTTCTCTCTCTCCTTTTCATTTTTTCATATTCGTTCACATTCAATAAATACTTTAGGCTTAGTGGATCCATTGCTTTGGTTAAGGTGAAATGATTAAATATATACCGTGTGTAACAGCAAAATTCTCCAAACCGTGTAACAGCAAAATTGTCCAATTGCTAGATTAATCTTTGAACCGTTGTATCATAGAAATGATTAAAGATATCTTACTGGAATTCTCCGAAGTTTTTATAACAGTATTTAGCTCTACTTTGAACAATATACAATGTACAATTACTCTACAAGCTTAACAGAAGAATCGTAACAAACTCGACCATGAACGAAAATGACATGTTTATCATTAATTATTAAGGAAGGGAATCTCATGAAAGACTAAAATAAAGTTCAAATATATATATATATATATATATATATATATTGCAGGAGAAATTCCCAACTTATTCAAGATGATCTTCGCCCTTTCTGATTTCTAAATTTCTGTCCTGAAGTAACAATGTGCCCCACGCGTTTCACGTATGATTTCATTTGGACTGTCATAGCAGAAACTACTCTCTCATGTACCAAACGTCTTATCGATGGAGTTGGATTTTTCCTAATTGAAGTCTTTAGCTCTAAATTGAGGCGATGACCCCTCTTCCTGCTGTGACCACCTGGTCCAGTTTTCCTCTCTATTCTCTTTTTGAAACTTATTCACCATTCTCTTGATGGTTCTTGAATAGTCGTTGAAGATGGAAGGCAGACTATAAATGTTGCTAACATTATTGAAGGCCTGAATGAACTTTTTCTTCACCATCGTTCAGCTGGAATGACATAGTGGGGCTGACACAAAACGATTTTAACCTGTTTGTTATCTAGAAGAATAACTCAAAGGGTTTCTCAGTGTATATATATAAGTATACATATACATATTAATAACACATGGTAATTCCTATGGTAATAAATGTGTGCTTGAGAGTTGCTGGTTGTCTTTTTGGGGATTTGTTATATACATCTGAAATATTTATAGGAAGAGCAGTTTAATTATTAAACTTTGAATGTTGCTGCTGGTGACGCCAAGATTAACCTGGAGAAAAATTTTATACGAAAGCCATTTTTTAATGCCCATTGAGTTTTCTAAGAAAAAAAATAACATTTTGTGCGATTCATTTTTTTGTCTATGCTGAATGTAACACTCTTCATGACTTTGTAATCCGATTTACGCCAAGAAAACGAAAACACATGTGAACACGCACGTGTGGATAAATTTTCCTATGCGTGTCACGCAACGACTTAAAAGGGAAATTAAAGACAAGTGCGTTCTGTGTTTCGTAATTCCCGCCCTTATTTATTTGTCAAGGAATACATAGAAAATAAATCTACTAATATTAAAATGATTATTTATCTATCATCATATTTTTTTGTATTTGAACATTATTTTGATTTGTGCTTTAATAATATATATCTATATATGGGCGTGCAAGTCGTTTAGCAGATGGCACTTCTGAAAGTGGAATAAGCGTGCCTAGTTCAAATTTCGGGCTTGTCGCATTCATTTTCGCACTAATGTAAACAGATAAAAACATGAATTCCAGATTTTCGTCCACCTTAAATGTTGTTTTTATATATCTGGTGAATATATGATTCCCTAGGTTTGTTAGCAGCACCATTACTTCCTTGACTCATTTTTTTCTGCCGATGTAATTTTCTCTAACAAATATAAAATTGGGAATATATTTGTTTTTTTACTCAAGTCTTCGTTTTGTTTGTTGTTTTCTTCCGTCATTCAATACCTGTGGTTGTGGAGGCTGAGCAAATTTTCCCCTTGGCCCGAGTGTACGCACTCAGGGTCCCCGCATCAAAGTCGACCTTTTGTCACATGCCACCTCAGTGTAGATGAATGGGATCAAATGTTCAGCCGGCCACAGTTCCAGCAACCAGCTCCAGTTCCCGCTAACAAGATCCATTATCAGCTCCAGCTTGCCATCGGCCACCGCTCCAGCCATTTCCAGTAGGCCCGCAGTTCCTGCCGCTTCAGTCATCATTGCCCTTTTCAGCAACGATAAAACTGTCAAGGTCAAAACCACAAAACTGTCTGGTCAACGCTTTTCAAGGCCAACGCTCTCCAGCGACCACAAAACTGTTCTTTTTAGGCCAACACTCTCCAGCGACCACAAAACTGTCCTTTTCACGTCAACGCTCTCCAGCGACCACAAAACTGTCCTTTTCAAGTCAACGCTCTCCAGCGACCATAAAACTGTCTTTTTCAGGCCAACGCTCTCCAGCGACCACAAAACTGTCCTTTTCAGGTCAACGCTCTCCAGCGACCACAAAACTGTTCTTTTC